CACAACTACTCTTAATTTCCTGTGGAAATTAATTTCCTCAGCCTTTTTGCTAATTTCCTCTGGTGATACATAAGTAATGCCTACTCCTTGCCTTTTTCCCTAATGGCATGACATGTGAACAAATGTCATACCCAGAGAATTTTTAAATTACTTTGAGATCTTTTATAGAAATAAAAGGTATTATAGCTAAGAATTTTTCCCTTTTCCTTTTTTTCTCTCAATTTCTTATGTCTTCTTACACAAACTTATGTTTCAAAGAATTTGAGGAGGTGGTAATCATAGTTTGTTAAGAGGGCCTGTTGGCTGTCTGATCACTTACAGAAACAGCCTCTAGTCTCTGAACCAATTCCCTCACAAACATTATCTCATTTAAAGTCTCAGCAACACACCTGATGCCAGAAAAATGTTTCGTCTTCTCTGGAGGACCAAGATCAGCCATTAGTGATGAGCTCCTGTTATACCATTCATCACTGAGGAGCTTCAGCTGTGACATAGGTTTGAGTTTAGGGTGCATATTTTTTTTCCATATTAGAATATCCTTTTCCTAAAAAATGTGTGGTAATTATAATTTTAACAAATGTAATATGCCAGAGATTGTTCCAGTGCCCTCACATACCTTATTTCACCCTGTGTTCTAATAGTTATGCACAGTTGTTTTATTCCCATTTTACAGATCAAGCAAACCTAATGAGAGTTTAATAACCTTTCTGAAGTCTTCTAGTGTAATCCAGCAATGATTTAAATTTTTCTGACTCCAAGTCTAGTGCTGCTTCCAGTTTTTACCATTTTTGTGACCCTGCAAAGAAGTATCAGCAGGCTCTGCAAACAGTTGTGCCAATTGTATACTGCACCAGGGCAGCCTGTGCTCACCATGGTGTGCATCCTGGAAGAAGGGGAGCCTTTTCCTAACTTGTACAAAGGTACCTGCAGGCTGGTCTAAATATTGAGCATGTTCTACTAGAGAAACTAAGAGTGAAGCTTAGGTCCAGCGTTGTTCCCAACTTCTAGTTAGACCGGATGTTTTCCCTCTAAATACTGAATGCCTTATGGTTATCACTGGTATAGATCTTCCGTTAGCTTTCTTAGTTAATATGTTAGATAAATATTTCTGCTTGTAAGCAAGGGTGAGGCAATCTGACACGGGAACCATTACAATGACTGCAGGGAGCACCACGGCACCTTTCCAGGTCAGCTCCTTCCCCCGCCTAGGCCATGGGTTGCACAGTGCGGGCTACCTCTAGACACTGCTTGGCCTCTCAACACTCAGAAGTCGCCAGCTCAAACAGGAGGGTTGACCCAGCACAGCCACAGGCTCAGAAGCTGACACTAGGTGACTTCCCGGTAAAAACCTTCCATTCTATTCTATGTATACTAGGGAATGTAAAGTTAATAGTAGCCTTGGCTGTAGAATACCAATTTCTTGAAATTCAGTCACTATTTTTTAGTTACCTCATAGATGGAGCTCCATGGTGAGTTGGAAACTCATGTTACTAAAATACTAATATATCTCCTCTTCCCTTTCTTTCCACAAGACTACTTAACCTCTACCTGGCTTGCCATGTTCCTGTGAATTAAAACCATCAGGGTCCTCCACATGTTTATGTTTACACTGCAAGAGCCCTAGCCAGGCAGCTGCTTCATTGTAAGCTCAGGTTGGAATTGTTCTCAGGGATATTTGCAAGGCCTTGTAATAAGTTAAAAAAGTAGCAGCTGGCTCCAGGTGATTCTTGCCCTGGTCTCACCTCTCCTAAGGGGAAATTTTATAGCGATATTGCTCATTTCAGTGAGTGTTCTTTGCACCACTAAGAAGAAATTGGTTAATTAGTGCACTATTTAGAACAAAAATTTTGACATTTTAAAATTACTAGTTTGTTGCTGCCTTCCCTGGTTTGAATAAAAGGAAGGAGAGATACAACCTTACCTGTTACAGTCTGGAATGATTCGGTGGTTCCTGATAATTTCTAGCAAGAGAATTGTATTATATAGACTAGTCCTTGGCCAGCACGAAAGGAACAGAGAATTTTTCTCCTAGACCTGTACTTTTCCTGCTACCATAGTCTTCCATTTCTTTCGCCCTTCAGATTAAAAGTGCCTCTTTCTACCTAACTCATTCCTTGACTGAGTCAATTTATTATTGGTTCTAATGCTTTCATCTTAGAATTACTGGAATTAAGTGGTAATTTTGGTAACTAGGTTACCACAAGCATTTCACTTAAGCAGCATATATTTCCTTTTTCTGTATGAAGTTCCATTAACTCTACTTGCTACAGCTCTGATTTGCTCAATTTATTACTGTGAGTTATTCTGGCTCCTTTTCTCTCCTGTTACCTGCCTTTTGGCCAATCTACTCTTCATCAGGGGAAAGGAACAAGATTAAAATCTATGAATTGTGCTTTCTGTGAGAAGCAGTGTGTGTGTGGGGGGGAGAACACATTGGAGGTTGCAATAAAATGAGATTTCAAGTTAACCGACAGACTCATCTTTCTATTCATATGGTAACCTTATGCCCTTGATTTAGGAGGGGTCATTTCAGATAATCTTGTAGTCGTCTTAAGTACATACTTGATTTGACTTCGGTTCTGAAAACATGATCACAATATCCAAAGGACACTCCACATTCACGTTCCCAAGTCAGCACAGCTAATGACAGTTTTTGAAAATAAAAACAGGCTGTGGGGCCATGATCCTGAAAGGCAGCCCTGAACATCTCAGCAGGTAATGCTGGATCTTAAGAGCTGAGGTCAGGAATGATTTGAACTCCTGAATACACCAAATAAATATTCCACCAGACTTTCAGTTATGCCAAGCATCTTTTGAGAAGAAAACTTTTTATCTTTTACCAAGGAATGTCCGTCACTTAATTCAAAAGTTAGAAAAACAGGAGGAACCTTTTCTCTGAATTAGCCACTTCCCAATTAAATACGCAAGGATTGTGTTACCAGTGTAAAATCTGTCAACTTCCAAGCTGTGCCTGAGTTATGGCTAAGATATGCTCACAAGCAGAACATTTTTGATACAGTGGAATCATTTTATAATGCTGACTTGGGTCAGAGGTGATAATCTTGCTGACTCAGAAAGTGTATCTTATCTAACTTGGTCTGGAAACATTTACACTAAAATGTGTACATTACATTAAAACAGTTGCCTACTGTAGTAATTTAAGCAGAACAGTAGAAGGTAAAGATGCTGTGAAAGATTAAAAGTATATAGTCCAGAAGTATTTGCTGTTGTAGAGCTCTTTTCTCTCCCAGTAATTTAGAGTTGACTACTATAATTGCTTCTTCCGGAAGAAAATCTCTCCCCTAGTGAGACTCTGATTGTATTGACTGATGTTTATGTATGGATGAGAGTGTGTGTGTGTGTGTTTATGCGTACGTCAACTTATTTCCACTGTGATGCAAATTCTTAAAAAAAAAAAGTCCACTCTCAAACATTCATAACAATAGTGTTACTGGAGGGTTTATTTCCAAATGGTGGTCTTTGCACTGCACGGCAACATCTGTTTGCGTTGAGTATCTGCAGCATACTGCAGACAGCAGATTGAGACGCAGCCCTGGTATATGTAATGCTGAACAATGTAGTTATTTTTCTTTCCTGATGAATTTAAACTCTCAAGGATGGAAAAGTGTTTGGTAACAACAAAGTATTTTATTAGTACTTCATTACTCTTGTTCATATGCTTCTCCAGAGCATCATGTTCATAGTAACAAGGGCATTACTGTTAGAAAAAGGGAATGTGTGTGGTGTGGACCCAGCATCCACCACCATACTTTTAAACAGAATCCCAGGAAACGCTCTTCGCTGAGAACGACAGACCAGTGTTGCACTGTTTCTAAACATTAAGCTCTCCCTGGTTTATTCTGGCACTACCTAAGTGACCTACTTTTGTTATAGGTATCTGACTGTGTCCCCAGGAAAGGGAACCACCTCAACTGTTGAATTTTTAAAAGCCTTAACTGTTCTTTCCTCTTTCTTTTGTGCCTAAACACCTGTTCTCTCCAGATGCAGCTTCTTAGGCATGGATGGAGCTGAGGGGTATGACTGGAAAATGAAAACATAAGATTATTAACAGACATTCCCCACAGGTATGCAGAAGCTTCTGGTACTCTATCAACTTAACATTTTTTTTTTTTAAAGATTTTATTTTTTCCTTTTTCTCCCCAAAGCCCCCTGGTACACAGTTGTATATTCTTCGTTGTGGGTCCTTCTAGTTGTGGCATGTGGGACGCTGCCTCAGCGTGGTTTGATAAGCAGTGCCATGTCTGCGCCCAGGATTCGAACCAACGAAACACTGGGCCGCCGGCAGCGAAGCATGCAAACTTAACCACTCAGCCACGGGGCCAGCCCCTCAACTTAACATTTTTATCAAAGCCTTCACTTCTTGGAAAGAGAAAAGGTGCCTGATTTTGAAAACTGTGGTTGATATAGGCCTCCAAACCTATGGTTCTTCTTGACTCAAATAAAAGGAAATCAAGTTGAAAAAAGTCAAACACATGTTTTGAGGCCTGATTTCTCCATTGTTTGAGTACAAAACTGTAGTCCAGAAGCTCTTGTGCTATTTGATTTTCAAACAGGAACACTATTACCTCCTTAGTATTTTGAGAGGAATTTTTCATTTGTAAGGGGTATGTGCATTCCTTCTCCAATCCTTGCTCTCCTCAGACACAACACTGCCTACTCTAAGATCATGCCCAAGGTTGCACTTTAATAAACAGTAAAGATTTTTTGTTTTTGTTTTGTTTTATTGTTTTGTTTTTTGGGTTTTTTTTGAGGAAGATTAGCCCTGAGCTAATATCTGCTGCCAATCCTCCTCTTTTTGCTGAGGAAGACTGGCCCTGAGCTAACATCCATGCCCATCTTCCTCTCTTTTATGTAGGATGGCTGCCACAGCATGGCTTGACAAGCGGTGCATAGGTCCGCACCCGGGATCCGAACCAGAGAACCCTGGGCCGCCAAAGTGGAACAGGCGAACTCTGCTGCACCACTGGGCTGGCCCCTTATTTTTTTTTTAACAAAAAAACATTGTGGTTTTTTTCTTCTGCCTTACAATCTGCTTTTAAATTTAATTTTCATGTGGGGACCTATACGGCCGAAGATAAAGGCACAGTGTGTAGACAGATTTAGAAGATGGTATGAAAACTCATTCAAATATGTGCAAGTTGATGTTTTCATTATATTAATATAGAGATTCCTAAATGGGTCACCAGCTTAGAAATCATCTTTAAAATAGAAATAAATAGCTATTATCTCGTGCCTATCTTGTCTAAGAACCTTGTTTAAATGGCAATGGCTCCGTCTCTGTTGAAGGCAGCTATACTGCTGTCACCATATGAGGTTTTAACCAGTTACGCTTTTGCATCCATTCAATCCATCTCCTAGAGCAAGAAAGCAAAAACAGCCCGAATTAGTCTCATTCACAAACCAGGACTCAGTACTTAAGAACTCTAGTGCCACAATCAAGAGAGGTGAAGCTGGGGTTTATGCAAAAACACACTCTCTGGAGCCCTGTCATCCTCACGTCCCTGCAGCCTCCTTCGCTACATGAGAACTGCAAAACACAGGCTCTCAAGGTGCTGTGACCTGGGTGTGCACACCTCTGAGCCACTTACGGTGCCAAGAGGCTTCTTAGTGATCGGAGGCATCGAGGTTCTGCTCCGCCCTTCAGTGTCTGGTAAGTTGTTAATACAAACTACTGCTGAAGTCTTGCCCACTTACTCCCCCTTGAGATGGTGCTGGTGAAAGCTGTCCAGAACTTTCTCAGGCTCCTTCCAACAAGCCGGCTTGGTTTAACACCAGACTTGAGACTGAAACTCCTTCTCCCGTTTTAAAATGCCTGTGTAACTGAAGACCACAGCAGCTAGAGAATGCTTTTAAGGCTTATCAGTAAATACTAAGAGGCCGAGATGCGTGAGTAATGCTTCTGACATAGAAAATCCCAAACATTCACTAACATTTGCAAATTTATAGATCCAATAATCCACTTAACTTCCAGTTGGGTTTACGAACTGAAGCACCAGACTTAGAGGAGTGGGTGGCCCTTCTCAGGCAGCAGCATGAAGAACTGTGACTTAATATCCTGGTTATGGGACAGATGTTTTCTGGGGAAGATTTTAGGTAGTTTTCCCCCTTTTGACTATTCCTCTTGCTCTCTCTCTCTTTCCATCATCCTCTTTGGTAAGCATGTTTTTTAATTTAAATTATCCTTATTTCTGTCACAGGGTGGAGTTGAGAGCACAGAGGAGGCTGAGCTTGGGCCCTCCTGCCCCTGCCTTTCCTGCTCTCCACATCCATCCATACTCTTACGGTTCCATCAAGAGGACGAAGGGAGCCTTCACCACCCCTCTGATAGCAGCAGGTCTTACAAATAAAGCTGATAAATCTCGAAAGGACATTAAGTGTTCATTACCAGCTTCTGCCACATAACTTTCTTGCTCATGAAACCAAACCAAGCCTTTCCACCTGAGCAGAAAGGTCTCTAACAGCTTCTTTGTGGTTTGGTCGCCAGAAGCAGGGGGAGAGGAGGTGAAAGAAGCCCGGCAGGGGAGGGCTCTGCTGGGTCTCCAGACCTTGGAGGGAAACGAGTGTGGGGAGCAGACAGCAATCAAGAGGATTTAGTGAAATGCCAAGGAACTGACATCACCGGTTCTTACATTTCTGACTAAGTTCCTCACATAGGTGAGTAGGTTCTGGTTAATAAAGTTCACTGTTGTGCGAAAGACGTCACGGAGCAAAGACGGTGTGTGATTGGCCACCTTTTTGGCCAAGAGCATGGACAACATCAGCATGGTCTTCTCCTTCTCCATGTCTTTAGGATAAGTCTGCATGACCTGCTCCAGCGCAGAAGTAAGGCACTGTCTTCTGTCCTGCACAGGGGTGAAAAGAAGGGGCACACAAAACCCACTAGCATTCTTCCCTCTGGAGGGGAAACAGTCCTCCACTGTTAAGTATGAAGAAGCATGCTTTCATTTGGAGGGACACACTTATTAAATAGCTAAGGAGGTTGGAGGAGAGAAGGAGAAACAATTTCATTTTGAACAGCAATGGAAAGGGAAGGCTGAGATCACTCCCAGAGTGGGATGCTCATTAACCACACACGTGTTTAGAGAGCATCATGTCTTCCCATTAGCGCTAGGCATCCTCTGCCTCTAAGGCCCTTAAAATCAGGAATTATTGAACTACCCAAGACATCCCATGCCTATCTTACTGGCATAGACCTCGCTAAAGGGAGGAGAATGAAGGGGGCTACATGTGACATTCCCACCTACATGGGAGAGGCATACTGTGGACAATTAGACCTGAAAGGACCTCACTGAACCATGTGCAAAATTAAGTTAACATTGTGGGAGAGGGCCCAAGGCAAAATATCACTAGATGTTTATATATGCTATGACAGTTGCTGGAGAACGTCAGACAGGGAGAGATCACTAGGGTGGGGACAAGCCTTCCTGGAGGCAGGAGACAAGCTGGCTGAACAGTGGAGGATGAATAGGTTTCTAGGTAGTGAAGGGCACCTGCATTTTCAGCTGAGAGTCAAAAGAATGGAAGCTTTCTCTCCTCTGAACTCTTGCAGGAATACATTTGACAGCTTTGGGTTACTTCCCTCTCCCACTAAATTTCCTCAGGAAGGACACCTTAGACCTCTCAGGAAGGGTGCCTTAGACCTCTCCCTGTATCCCCCCCCCCCCCGAGTCTAGCAAATGGCAGAAGCTCTGTAAGTATCTGTAGATTGAGTATATCCGTGAAGTCAAAAGGAGTAGGCTAAAATGTCACTTTTCTTGTCACACTTGGGTAAGTAACATAAAGTTCTCTATTGGCATTTGTATTCAACTCCCTATAACTGAAGAAAGAATAAGTTATTTCTGGAAGAGTCACATACATTTTGTTAATCTTTTTGGTGGCTTTTATCCCCAAACTCTTGACTCTGACTTTAGGTTCAGGTTTCCTAAATGTCAAGTAACTTAATTCTTTTGAAAGACAATTAACCATGCTAGGATTCTATTTCCAGTTCTTTTGTAGACAGTCATGAATTGAGTCACCTCACTGGACACTGGTCGGTCTGACAGAAGACAGAGGACAGACCTTGTTAGTTCAACTGACAACTGAAAAAGCCCTCACTGACCCAGATAAGGCACTGGCGGACTTTCTCACTTACTTCCTCCGACAGGTTCACATTCATAAACTGCATTGCCAGGTTATTCACCAGCCTTGGGTGGATGCTGTCGTCCATCCTGTCCCCTATTTGGGCAAGTTGCCTGGCGATATGCTGGATTATTTCCTCTTGACTCTCAGAATCTGAATGTTCAGGCAGGGGCAGCAGAGAAAAAGCAGATTCAGACAATCGCCCTGGTGGACACCCTCATCCCACGCCACCCTATACAGAAAAAGGATGGGATTCTGCTTTAGAACAAGGCTGGCTCCTGTTTCCGAGCACACCATGGCGGTCCCAGCCGAGCATTTGCTTTCCTCTCCTGGGGCGACAGTGTGAAGACCTGGGGATCTGTAGTTCAGGGGAGCACGGGCAGAGGGCTTGAGTGGGTCTGAGAAAGGAAAGGGCCTGAGTGAGCAGAAGACTGGCCTGGAGAAGCAGGCCTCTCCAGGAGTACGGGTTCTACATCTGCCCACTAAAAGGATCAGTGATGCTGGGCATCCATGACTACGGGCAGCTGAGGCAGGAACACGACAGCAGCCCTTATGGCTGCCAGCTCTAAACTCCATCCTTTAACAGATGTCAGCCTGAGAAGTCGTACAGTCAGAGCTCTGCAGTCAGATGAGTGAGGAGCCCCGCCTTCGCCATTCCCTAGCCACAGACCCTGCCACATCCTCCCCACCTGCTTCACAGGGCACCCACCTCCTCTCCCAAGTCCTGTCTCAGTAAAATCTGACGTCTTCACTGTGACCTAGAACGCCCTGGATGATCTGCGCCAGCCTCTCTAACAGAAACTCTCCCTACTTGCCCCTTCTCCCTCGTCTCCGGCTGCACTGTCCTCCCCGGAGAGCACGCTCCTTCTCTGCCTTCCTTATGGTCTACTCAAACGCCACTTTGTCCAAGATTAACACCCCCACTTCACAGCCACACACCCGCCTCCTCCGCCCTCCCTTTTCCTTCCTTGACACTCACTACTGTATCATACATTTTACCTGCCTGTGTTGTCTGCCTCCCTCACCAGAATGTAAGCTTCACAAGGGCTCTGATTTTTCAATGTTTTGTTTACTAGCAAATACGCAGCACCCAAAAACAATGCAAGGCACACAGTAGGTGCTCAATAAACAACTGCATGAATGAATGAATGAGTAAATGAATGGACCCTGTACCCAGTGCCTAGTAAGTATTCAATGAATGCTGGCTTTTATTATTTCTCCCACTAAATCCTATACTTTTCTCTGTTCTTGCAGTTTCCCTCTGGCTTCTTACTTACCCAGGATAAAACTCTCGTCCTCATCCTGGTCTTTGCTTTCGGGGCTTCAGTCCTGCTCACTGGGTTGAGAGGCCCGAGCCTAGGTCCTCAGAGTCACCCTGGGCTTTCAGGGCAGTGATTCTAACCAGGGTGTCCATCAGAAACACCTGGGGAGTCTCCATCCTAGACCATGCTGGGTCAGGCAGCTGGAGCAGGGCCCAGGGCCTATGCATTCTGCAAAAGTTCCTCATGGAACTCCAGTGTGCACACTACTGAGAACCACTGCTCCAGGCCCAAATCTGGGACTGGCTGAACCTCAACACGCTCCCCAGCCTCGCTCCCTCAGCCGTCAGCTCAGGGCGGCCTCCGTCAGTGGAGGCAGCGCCAGTGGCCGAGAGGAGTGAAAACTGAGGTTGGGAGGACAGCACAACTGTGAGGAAAGGGTGAAGAAAGTCTGGAAACTGTGATGCAGCACCGGGCAGTGGGAGCACGACTGGGTCCAGCCCCGAGGAAAGAGGCCTGGCCCCAGTCTCGGCTCAGCTGTGCCCTTAGTTGTTTGATTTGGGGCTTGTTGTTTACCCTTGTCTGGGCCGCCATTTCCTCATCTGGAAATGAGGTTCAGAATAGTTCAATGCCCCAGTTATCTGGTAGATAATTACAAGCCATAATATATATAAAAGTGTAAGGTGCTATACAGATGCAAAGAATCATTAGAAAGAAACTGAGTGGATTTCCAATGACTGGAAACTCAGCTACACCTGCCCCCTGGAGTAATCAAGCATAGACCAAACAACCTGTGACACCAACAGGGACAGGAGACTGAAAGCGTGGAGGTGGAGACAGAGCCCACAGGTCCCTTCCAGCACTTAGGTTCCCTAAATGTTACTGGTTACAGCAAAGCCCAGATGTGGAGCAGAGGAGGCTGGGCCAGATGCCTACCTGCCTCCGCTCTTGCCACGAAGTGGCTGCACCGGTTGCCATCTGTCTGCAGCTCGTCATGGTCCTCCCACAGGTAAGCTTGCACGGGCAGTTCATGGCCCAACACCTCCAGCTCTTTGTAGAAATGACGTTTGGAGCAGTTTTGGAGGAAGCTAAACACCAGCAAGTGTGTGATGTGCTCATCCTGGAGGCCTGAACCATTGCTGACCTAAGATGAAAGGGGAGTCAGGGAGACCTCTGGGAACCTGGTCCAGCCGGAGGCCCTCACTGCGGCTGAGCTGGCAGAGGGCTCCAGGTACAGCCAGGCCTGAAATAGCCTCACTGGCCTAAGAGATCTGAATAACCCTGTGGGCACAAGGACCACTGCAAGTGGGAGAGGCCAAGTGTGCAGTGCCTGCTTTGAGCAATGCCCCCTGTGGATGCCAAAGAGAAAGCTCCAATCCAGCACCATCTGCTTGACATCCTGACAACATGCAGCTGGAGTGAGCTTCCTTTCAGGGTAGGAAGCTCCAAAGGCTGTTAGGGAAGCCAAGCAAGCATCATCATTTAGATGCCATCCTTGTATTCATATGATTTGCCAAGTCTGACATATCTTACCGACTTAAGCCCACCTTTCCTAGCTATGCATCCAGCACTTAGAAGCTCTTTCTTTTCAAAAGTCTCCTTTGTGGGCCCAGGATTACATTGTGCAAACAGCAGACTTTCAATAAATACTGGGTAGTAGTGACCACAGATAACATCTGCCTCTGGGCAGGCTTGGTTTACTTCAGGTGGGTATGCCCCTGAACCAAAACCCAAAGAGGCGCGAGGATGGTTCCTGCTCCAACCAAGGGGCTGGTGTGCTCAGGCCCTGTCAGCTCTGTGGCCCAGGAGCAGCACTAGCCCCATTCAGCATCTGTGTTCTGGAGCCAGGAGGGACATCCCTGGTGTGCACACTGCATTTGGGACAGGATTCCTGACAAAGGTGAGTACCTGTAGCATCAGCAGCCACGTGTGCTCAGAACAAGCAAAGACCTAGGATGAAAGAGGAAATAATCTGGAAGGCTAGGGATACCGAGATCTGCCCAGATAAATGCAAAACAGACATGCTGGGCCATAACAGGCCAGTACAAGAAGATGAAGGTGTAAGTAAAATTTAGTTCCATCTTCTAGGTCCTTAATATTTTTTATTAATCAGAAAGCTTTTAGAGGACGGTTTTTAGAGGGCAAATTGTTTTAAATAAATAAAATGCATAAAATAAGTTGCTTATGTATTGCTATTCAGACTTCTCCAAAATTACTCCTAAAAAAGGAAAAATGTTATGTAAAAACTCTACTGGATCAAATCGTTACAGTGAGGCCAGGTGGCATAAAGCAGCTTGGAAACTCAAGAACATGCTTCACTGCTGCTTCAAACGGTATCCTGGGTAGAAGAGAAGAAAGGAGACCTGGGGCAGTGTTGTGGGTTAAACTGTGTTCCCCAAAAAGAAATGTTCAGGACTAACCCTACGTATCTATGAAAGGGCCCTCATTTGGAAATAGGGGCTCCGCAGATGTACTCAAGCTGAGATCAGGTCCTACCAGATTAGGGCAGACCCTAAATCCAATGACTGGTTTCTTTATAAGAGGAAGGAGAGGAGGATTTACACACAGACACACAAGGACAACACCACGTGAAGACGGGGCTGACGCTGGAGCGCTGTGTTAAAAGTCAAGGACTGCTGGCAGCCACCAGGAGTGGAGAGAGGCATGGGACAGATTCTCCTTCAGAAGCCTCAGAAGGAGCCAACGCTGCTGACACCTCGATGTCAGACTCCTGGCCTCCAGAAGTGTGAGGGGAAAATGCCCAGTTTGTAGTATGTTGTTACAGCAGCCGGAGGAACTAACGTAGGCAGCCTTTGCCAGAGGCCACCTTTTGATGCAGAGGTTGGTACACAGGGGTCCAAAGTCTGGAAGCAGAACAGTGGTTGCCACCAACTATGCCAGACCAGGTTATCAATATAAGTTCAGTGATCTTTGCCTTTCCCACATAAAATAAAAAGAATAGAGTTGGCAGGGAGGGAAAGGAAAGAATTTCATATGTTAGAGGAACACAGGTCCAGTAGCCCTGAGTAGATAACCTGTGAAGTCAAACGTTCAGTACCAGTTGGCTGGAAAATAGTCTAGACTGACTGTTTTGATGAGCATGTCAAGAACAGGCAGGACAGTGCCACAAAATGGGTAAGAGGCTCAGAAGACTGATAGTATTTAATTCCAAGAACAAACAGAGCTTGTGACGAGCCAAGTATGGAACTATGACCTTTTTTGATCCTTCTAGTGATAAAAGTTGAAATGGATGTCTCAGAACATGAAAGATTTGATAGTTGTTTATCCTTTTAGATCACAGGAAAAAAAAATACATTAAGAGAAATGATCAACACTTAGAAAATCTTGCTGGATATATTACAAAACTGATCTAAAGGAGGCAAAAATAACTCTCATGCTATAAAATCAGTTCCAGTGCAAAGAAAAACATGGAAAGCTATCCAATGTGTTTGATAAATTAGAATAATCCTGGTGCCCAATCCTGGCGAAAAGAGCACCAAACAGGGGGAAAAAAACCCCAAAAAATCCCCAAACAAATGTCACTTATTTTCTAAATATCAAAAAAGTCAAAGAAGAATGCTACAATATGGATGAATAGGACGATAAAAACTAAAAAAAAAACAAACCCAAGACATTATGCTAAGTGAAACAAGCCAGACACAAAGGACAAATGGGTCTGATCCATTTCTACAAGGGACCTCAAGGAGTCCAATTCAGAGACAGGAAGCAGAGCAAGGCTGGGAGGAGTGGGGGATGGGAGCTGGTGTTTAATGGGGACAGTTTCCGTTGGAAAGATGAACAAGTTCTGGAGATGGATGGTGGTGGTACAACAATGTGAGTGTATTTAACGCCACTGGATTGAACACTTAAAAAAGGTTAAATGGTAAAATCTATGATCTGTATATTTTACCACAATTTTAAAAAACTGGAAAAAAATTAAAGAAAAATCTACAACAGGATGAAATTCTGATGGCGGGGGGCGGGGGCGGCCAAACCCTGAAATGTAAGAGGAAATTGCTCAGTATGTGACTGTGAACCCCAACTCTGTGGGACACTGGGCAACGAGTGCGTCTCAGTTTCCTCACCTTGAAGGAAAAACACTAGGAGTAACGTCACCCACCTTCCGGTACTGAAGGCTGGCACGAGAAGTGGGACAATGTAGGAGGAACCACCCCTACAGTCAGTGTGCTCCACAAGGCCAAGGTGGCCGTGACACTGTAAGTCGCAGACGTCTCAAGAATAGGGGAGAGGAGACAACAGCTGCAAGGTGGAAGGGACAACAATGGGCAGGTTTAAATGGCGCCAACCGAAGAGTGTTTTGGACATTAACAGGCCTTTATCAGGACAAGGGGAGCTCCCCAAATCTCTTCTGTTCAAGCAACTACCTCTCTCCGGAGCCTGCGATGTCTTAGGCCCTCCAGCCAACAAACTGAAAGCCCGTGCTTCCCACCTTTTAGAAGGATTTCAACAAGTACATACTGAGAACCTTCCAGGAGCCAGGTGCTGCTATGTTCAGGGATTCACAAACTGTGGGCCACTGAGTTTACTAACCGCCAAATCCTTAGACTTTTGTAGATGCCCACAATGGCTGGTGAGAACAAACATTTGGGGTGGACAAGGAGGAGCCCCTGGTGCTAGTCGCCGCGAAGACTTCACAGAACTCGGCAAAGGAGGGAAGGAGAAAGACTAGAGAGTAAGCCAATGAATGAAGAGCTGTTGATCAGATATGCCTCAATTTTCTCTTCCAAGCCTGTTCAAAAGTAAGTGCAGACAAGGCACAGTTTGGGTGCCAGCCTGCTGAAGGCCGGGGAGTGGCCTATGACTGCTGGGTGACCTCTCCCAAGAACTCTACAGCTTTTAAAGAGTCTTGAATCAGAAAGCCTCCTTGCCCCGCAGCAAGCGCCCTGGCACAAGGTGTGGGAGGGAGAGGACGAGGAGATGAGAGCGCTCTGGTGTTCTTCTTTGCTGAGCTCCAGTAAGTGAAGGTGAGGCTCCTCTCTGCGGCTCTGTCAAATAGGGATCAGGCTGGGTCCACACTGAGAGCACACACGCCAAGAAGCTGGCCCCAGCCACCTTCACTCCCCCCCCACAGCATTCCTCCAGAAGTGCACTGTCTGACCTTAGAATCCATGGCACAGGCAGCCTTGGGGCGTTTCCACTCCCTCTGGCTTGCAGGTGTCCCAAGTCAGCAGCCTAGAAGAGGACACAAACACAGGGTAGGCGGCTGGTCCCGGCAGGGACTCCCACTCTGGGCGCCCTCAGGAAAGCATCAAGGAAGCCATCCTGGGCCCTGGCTCACAGGCGCTCCAGCTATGGCAGCCCAGCTCACCTGGCCCACCCCAAGCACGCTCACCCTGGGCTGCTGCTTTCTCCTCAGCACGGAACTGGGGCAGCAACCACGGGAGCCGCCCATGGAGAGTCCTCCAGACGGAGACTTGCCAAAGCAACAAGCTCCCCAGGATCGACCCTCCAACTTCAGAGTTCAACTCTCCCGCCCCAAGCTCACTGATAGGAAGACCCCACTGATCAGGCATACAGGACTGTCTGGTTTATGAACTCCTTTTTAGTAAATACCTATATTAGTGAGTTTTGTACAAAAATAACTTAGCTAACAAAGTATACCTGGACCTTTTCAGGGCATCTGTTTATTATTCCTATGACCACTAATATGGCCACTGTCACGATTCCTTCCAACAACAAAAGTCCCAACCCATTCCTTCAGCGTGCAAGGGTTCTGGAGCATTCACTGATTCTCTCTTGTTCCACAAGTGTGCTGAGAAGTAGGCAGTGTACTGTGTTCATTCTGACTCAGTGGATAAGAAAATAAGGTCTGGGAAGAAAGGGACACCCAGGCCAGTTCTCTCCATAGGCCACATGGCTTCAATGGACAGGTAAGACCAAAAATCCACAGAGAAAGAGCTCCTGTAAAATGTGTACACAGAAAGACAAAGAATGTATATTTGACAATTACACAAAAGATTAAAACTTCCATATGGCACAAACTCCAAACTAAATAACCCATCACAAATAACTGATCAGACAACAGCCAACTGGGGATTGAGTTAAAAAGACTGTGCCCCAAAATATCCAAAACCAAGAGTGACAAATGTTGGAGAGGCTGTGGAGAAAAGGGAACCCTTATACACTGTTGGTGGGAATGCAAACTGGTGCAGCCACTATGGAAAACAGTATGGAGGATTCCTCAAAAAGTTAAGAATAGAAATACCTTATGACCCAGCCATCCCACTACTGGGTATCTATCCTAAGAACCTGAAATCAGCAATTCCAAAAGTTCCATGCAGCCCTATGTTCATCGCAGCATTATTCACAATAGCCAAGACGTGGAAGCAACCTAAGTGCCCAGCAACTGATGATTGGATAAAGAAGATGTGGTATATATATACAATGGAATACTACTCAGCCATAAAAAAGGACAAAGTCGTCCCATTCACAACAACATGGATAGACCTTGAGGGTATTATGTTGAGTGAAATAAGCCAGACAGAGAAAGATGAACTCTGTATGACTCCACTCATAGGTAGTAGTTAACATATGGACAAAGAGAACTGATCGGTGGTTCCCAGGGGAAAGGGGGGTGGGGGGAGGGCACTAGGGGTGAAGTGGTGTACCTACAACATGACTAATAATGATGTACAACTGTAATTTCACAAGGATGTTAACTTTCATAACCTTAAAAAAAAAAAAAAAAAAGACTGTGCCCACTCTGTGTGTGTATCCACATAGAGAGATGCCCAAATATACTGAACAAAAGTTTCTGTAGAACAGTCTCAATGGAATAATCCTATTTTAATATATATTTGCCCATGTGTACATTTACACACAATATTAGGTTGAACCAAACGAAACGGTCATTTTGTAGGGCAAAAACAGTCAAATTTGACAATTTCATTGAAGACACAAAGAAATGGAAAGATAGTCTGTGCTCTTGGATTGGAAGAATTAACATAGTTAAAATGTCCATACTTCCTAAAACAATCTACAGATTCAATGTAATCTCTATCAGAACCCCAATGACATTTTTCACAGAAATAGAACAAAGAATCCTAAAATTTATAGGGAACAACAAAACACTCTGACTAGCCAAAGGAATCCTGAGAAAAAAGAACAAAGCTGGAGGTATCACACTCCCTGATTTCAAAATATACTACAAAGCCAGAGTAACCAAAAGAGCATGGTACTGGCACAAGAACAGGCACACAAATATCAATGGAACAGAACTGAGAGCCCAGAAGTAAACCCGCACATCTATGGACAGCTAATTTTTGACAAAGGAGTGAAGAACATACAATGGAGAAAGGAAAGTCTCTTCAATAAATGGCGTTGGGAAAACTGGACAGCCACACGCAAAAGAATCAAAGTAGACCGTTATCTTACACCATACAAAAAAATTAACTCAGAATGGATCAAAGACTTGATTGAACGTAAAATCTGAAACCATTAAACTTCTTTTTTTTCTGGTGAGGAAGATTCACTCTGAGCTAACACCTGTTGCCAGGCTCCCTCTGTTTTGTATGTGGGTCACCACCACAACATGGCTTGATGAGTGCTGCAGGTCTGTGCCTGGGATCCAAACCCACAAAGCCGGGCCACCGAAGCAGAGTGCACCAAACTTAACCACTACACGACCAGGCTGGCACCAAAACTTCCAGAAGAAAACACAGGCAGTACACCCTTCGACATCAGTCTTAATAGTATATTTTCAAGTACCATGTCTGACTGGGGAAGAGAAACAATAGAAAAAATAAACAAATGGGACTACATCAAACTAAAAAGCGTCTGCACAGCAAAGGAAACCACCAACAAAATGAAAAGACAACCTAACAATTGAGAGAAGATATCTGCAAACCATATATCTGATGAGGGATTAATATCCAAAATATACAAAGAACTCATACATCCCAACAACAGAAAATCTAACAACCCAATTAAAAAAATGGGCAAAAGATATGAACAGACATTTCTCCAAAGAAGATACACAGATGGCCAACAGGCACATGAAAAGATGTTCAACATCATTAACTATCAGGGAAATGCAAATCAAAACTACAGTGAGATATCACCTCATGCTCATCAGAATGGCTATAATTAACAAGACAGGAAATTGCAAGAGTTGGAGAGGATGTGGAGAAAAGAGAACTTGCATACACTGCTGGTGGGAGTGCAAACTGGTGCAGCCACTATGGAAAACAGTACAGAGATTCCTCAAAAAATTAAGAATAGATCTACCATATAATCCAGCTATTTCCACTGCTGGGTATTTATCCAAAGAACATGAAAATATGAATATGTAAAGATATATGCACCCCTGTGTTCATCGCAGCATTATTCACAATAGCCAAGACTTGGAAACAACCTAGGTGCCCATCAAGGGACGAATGGATAAAAAAGATGTGGTATTTATACACAATGGAATACTACTCAGCCATAAGAAATGATGCAATCCAACCATTGTGACAACATGGATGGACCTTGAGGGTATTATGTTAAGTGAAATAAGTCAGAGAAAGTCAAATACCATATGATCTCACTCATAAATATAAGATGAAAACAACAACAAACAGAGCCAGCTCTCACGGCCCAGCAGTTAAAGTTCTGCATGCTCCGCTTCGGTGGTCTGGACTCAGTTCCCCGGGCGCAGAACCACACCACTTGTCTGTCAGTAGCCATGCTGTGGTGGCGGCTCACACAGAAGAACTAGAAGGACTTACAACTATATACAACTATGTACTGGGGCTTTGGGGGGAGGGGGAGGGAGGAAAAAGGAGCAAGATTGGCCACAGATGTTAGCATAGTGCAAATCCTCCCCTGCAAAGAAAAAAAAAAAGACACTGACTTCTCCTTCACACAGATTATGTCATTAAAAATAACAAAAACAACAAACATAGAGACAGATTAGATTGGTGGTTACTCGAGGGGAAGTGGGGAGAGAAGAGGGTGAAAGGGGTGGTTGGGCACATGTGTGCGGTGATCGATGCTAATTAGTCTTTGGGTGGTGAACATGATGTAATCTACAGAGAAATGCAAATACAGTGATGTACACCTGAAATTTATATGTTCTAAAACAATGCTACCTCCGTAAAAAAATAAATATCTGTATTGTAAAAAAAAAAAAATTGGCAATTTCACATGGTTCCTAAATACACAGGAGATAAAAACAGAAGAACAGACAACCAACTCATCTCCAGGAAGAAAGGGGGAGGCTCCGACCCGTGTGGAAGGGGGTGGCAAGAAGGCCGTGCCTTCCGTGCACCAGGCAGCCATCTTGTGCCGTGCCTGGGACACACCGCTCTCGGCGCTGCCCTCTCCCTGTCTTGGGTGCTAACGCCAGCCGTGGGGGTCATGCGCAGACAATGGGGGTCTGGCAGAGCCACCCCTCGGCTGGGTATGGCTGAGTGTTTGGGAGGAGAGGGCCAGGAGCAGAGGACTCTGGTTTACGTGGACAGACAACAAGGACACTGGCTTGCTGGCCATCCACACGGCGAGAGGCAAGAGCTGGAGCCATTATCAGCATCAGGACACAGAACCGAACAGAACATGCTCCTCAGGAAAAAGGCCACAGAAGCCAAACCACCTCCACAGTCACTGCCAAGGTGGAGGCGCAGCACGCGGAGTCCTGGCCTCTGCTCCGCCTCGCTCTGTCAGGAAGGAACTTCAGAAAGCCATGGGGGAGGCAGCACTCGAGAGAATTCACACAAACCTTTGATCTGATTTCCTTCCACACTCTGACACACACACCCACATCCTCAGGGAGACTTCCGTCGTCTTCTACTTTCACTTATGTTGGGATGATTGTTCCGCTTCAATGGATATTCTTCAAAAAATGTGTTAATGTTGACACAATATTCTTTTGCAGTGGCTCGTTCTTGACCAGCAGTAACTTTGCCCCTGAACAAATTTGGCCCAAGGAACATTTGGCAATGTCTGGAGACATTTTTGGGTGTCACACCTGGGAGGGGTGCTACTGGCATCCAGTGCGTAGAGGCTGGGATGCTGGTCAACGTCCTACAGTGTGCAGACAGCCCCCACAGCAAAAAATGACCCAGCACAAAGTGTCAATAGTGCTGAGGCTGAAAACCTTCTTCTATTGTACGGATGCACCAAAATACAATTAATCTCCTATTATTGGACATGTATACTTTCCAATTTTTTCACCCTTAAAAATAGGACTGTGA